GATCCCAGGACTCCAGGATCACGCCCTGAGCCAAAGGCAGGTGCCAAACCGCGGAGCCACTCAGGGAATCCCCCCAGCTCCATTTAAAAGAATAATTGCATCTGTGCACAATTAAAAAGAACAGGTGCCAGCTGATAATATTTCCCACTTATCTTTGGACTATTATGTATTTTGGGGTCACCTTAAAATATGAATGAACAATGTCCTGTGTAATTTGGTCAGAGCCCAGGGATAATTTGGCTCCATCAAAAATTTATCAGTGGTAAATGAACCAACAAACAGGACAGCCTTTCGCCATAACAAATAGGATCACTAGCACTTATCCTAGGCTGTGCTCGTGGGGTGCTTGTCATTTGCATCCTCAAATCTGTCAGGTGGCAGAGGCAATAATACCGCCTTTTATTTATTTTTTTATTTATTTTATTTATTTTTTTAATGCTGCCTTTTAAAAGCTGGCATGCATGTTTGCTTTGCTTTGTTTGTTTATCTTTCCCCACCATCTAAATATCTTCGCATGTCCCCATAGGGAAGACATTCCCATCTTTGAAGGATTTCCCTGACTTAGGGGGAGGGAATTCCCAGGTGCCACCCTCCTTTACCGATGGGAGCATTCTCAGCGCTTGGAAGCTGCGGGAATCCTTAACGGAGTCTGCCTCGTGCCATTTCTCTTGCTGTCTAACCGGTCGCCCCAATAGTCTTTGCAGCTCATCCCCAGGATGATGACCCGGGGAGACCTCTGGCTCCTGCGGCCGGAGGGGCTGCTATCTGAGCACCTGCCTCCAGGGGGCGCTGCCGGACCGCGAGCCCGGCCGGGATGCTCCTCCGGGAGGAGCCGCGGCGCCTGCTTTACCGCGTTGCAGGCCCTGGTTTTTACTCCCGAAAAAGGCAACTTGTTTATGTGAATGAGACGCCAGCGCTGAGCAACCCCAAGCTGAGCAACCCCAAGGCAGCTGTGTGCTCTTTCGAGGCGGCGGGGCTTTGCCCAGAGCATGCATCATCGCGGCCACCCTGCTAGCCTTAGCGGTTCTTCTCCTGCAGGTCAGCGTATTCTTTGTAATGAATGCCACGGAAATGCTGGCATTTTTGCCTTTTCATTCATTGTATTTAACGTCTTTTTTATTTTTTTATTCTCGAGAGACACACAGAGAAAGAGAGAGGCAGAGACACAGGCAGAGGGAGAAGCAGGCTCCCTGCATGCAGGGAGCTCGATGCAGGACTCGATCCCAGGACCCTGGGGTCACGACCTGGGCCCAAGGCAGGTGCTCAACGCTGAGCCGCCCAGGCGGCCCTAAGTCATTATATTTAAAATATGGGTGAGATAGTAGACCTGAACCCTTTTAATTCTGCATCAATAATAATAATAGCTTACATGTTGTCTATCTCCACATCCTGACTCCTTATGGCAGACATTGTCTAAATATCTAAGTATGCTAATGTCATTTAGCCTGCGCATAACCCCCGAGGAGCATTGGATGGCTTTGGAAAAATTACCAAAGAGAACTTTTATCAATGATACAGTGAAGCCGTGAACAGTATCTCTGCCACACGATCTTCTCCTTTATTTACATATAATAACATGTAAAGAGCTCATAAATTTGCTTTTTATGCCTACTGTATTTATTTATGCCAAAATATGTCTTAATTCCAGGATAGCTGTCAATAGGTTTCTGTGTTCAGAAGCGTTTTCCACGTGGCATCTGTGATACAAGTGAACTAGCTGCAATAATGAAGGAAACATCTGTTCAAAGGAATAAATAATCCGGTCAAAAAGTGTGCTATTGATCACCGTGGCTGATTATTGCTGTAAAAGTGTAACAAGCAGAATGAGTGATCTGTGTAAACCACGGATCGGACCACGTCACATCCCTGCTGGACCCATGGACGTCCTGGTGCAATAAAGGTGGTAGCAAATGTTCACATAGGCTACAAGACCCAGCGGGTTGTGGCATCTCCCTCTCCCACCTCCTACTGGAAGGGCCTACCCTCTTTTTCCCTGCCCTGCTCCCAGCTCCCAAGAGCACACGGCACAATGCCTTTTGTGTTCCCCAACAGCTGTGCCAATTACCGGCTTTGCAGCCTTCATTTTCTCATATGTAAACATGTAGAAGATTCAATAAGATATGTGTGTGCATATATCACTTATTAAAAGCTCATAGTAAGTACCATATTAAGTGTTACATGGTATTTTCTTTGTTAGTGTGTATCCAATGGCTACTATATATAAGCCCTCAAAAAATACTCACTGTTTGGGCGCCTGGTGGCTCAGTCAGTTAAGCATCCATCTCTTGGTTTTGACTCGGGTCATGATCTCAGGGTCGTGAGATGGAGCCCGGTGTGGGGTTCTGTGCTCAGCAGGGAGTCTGCTTGAGATTCTCTCTCTCTCCCCCTCTGCCCCTCCTCCCACTTGTGCCTACACGCACACACACATGCACGTTCTCTCTCTCTCAAGTAAATAAATCAATCTTTAAACAAATATTCACTATCTAAATTAGTGAACGAAAATCTTCTCCTTGCCCTCCTAAGGAACTGTTCTAGTTGGGTGGAACATGGGCCTTAATTTTCCTGAATGTTGTGGAATAACAATGAGGATGAGAAGTAACAGGGACAGGGGATGCGTGTGACACACGTTTGGTATCACTTCCCATTCTACTTGGTAATCTCCTCCACACTCCAGAGTTTGGAACAAATCTGGTACATAGTAAAGTTGGGATCTGTGGTAGCTATTGAATTCATTTATTCATCGTCTTTTGGGTACCTGCCATGTTCTAGGCATTATGCTAACGCTCAGGGGTAAACACGGACAAACCTTCCTGCCTTTATGGAACGTGCTCACAGTCAGTCAGAGTGGGAAATCCGAGTGCTTATCCCGAACTCTTTATGGATTTCTAGAGTAAATGTGATGAGCTATCTTGAACCTTCCACTTTACCCTGGAAAGTTCCAGACCCGTTTGGTCAAGGCTCCCTAAGCAACACTGCAACCTCAGAACCTATGTGGGGTCTGCAGGGACAGCATAGAAAGCCTCCCTAAGTCAAATGAATCATTTCCCAAAGTGTACTCCGTAGTAATGGGTGTTACTCATAAGGCACATTCCATGGACAACTGTGTATAAAGAACCATGGTTTAAGAACTTTTAAAATTATTGCTGCTAAGGCTTTTCTTGTTTTGTTTCATCTTGCATGGACTCTGGGACCTTCTCATCGATATATCTGTCTAAACACCAGCTCACGTGTCCCTTACTGTGTGCAACTGGGAAAATTACGAGGCCTTTCTATGCTTTAGTTTCCACATCTGTAACATGGTGATAATAATAGGTATTGTCCTATAAAATTGTTAAAGATTAAATGATGTAATTTGTATAATTGAGAGCTTGATGCATGGCGAGTACTCAACTAATGTTAATTTTGTTCTTGTTCTTGTCATATGCCTCCTTATGAACCAAGAAAGTCTTTATTCCAAGAATTGGTTTCTGTAGAAAACACTTGGGAGATACTGAACTTCGTCAGGACATTAAGCAAGCTGAAAATGCCAATTATGTTCTTTCTGGCAACTTTGAGAAACACCCAGGGTCAACAGGCACAGTCAAATCAGCTTTTGTAAGATAGACAAGTAAATGAGAATCAGCCATCCATGCTACAGGGAGTGTTGAGGGCCATTGCAGTGACAAGGAAATCTTGTTCCAACCCGGGTGACCTCAGTGACATTACAATGGAATGTAATCACACGTGTTCCTGTGGCACATGGTGGCGCAGACTAGCTATATTCAAAGTTAAAAGCTCTAATATTACCAATAAGATCTCTTAGGTTTTCTCAAAAAAAAAAAAAAAGAAAGAAAGAAAAGAAAATGGGAATAGAAATATCAGTAATGCAGATAGAAACTTGTCACCACGAATGCCATGTGACCAAAAGCTCTTCTCCACGTATGATTGATAGATTTACAATGAATGGCCTACATCTAAATATCATATAAAGCAATTATGCTCTTGCCTCCATCTCAAATAAGTCATTTTACATTCTTTATCCCAAAATTCCTATCCTATCAGCTTAAACAATGTATCACCAAACGTGTTGATATAAAAAAAAACTTGCAGACAGAAAAGATATAGTTTTATGTCTGTAATCTTCTTATTTTCTCTTCCAAATCGTTACACTAGGCCAAGAGCCAAGAGGAGAAAAGGGTCAGGGGAATAAAGGATTTTGAGAATAAAAGTCAGATGAGGATAAAAACCCAGAAACACAGATACATTTCAAATCAAGACAACAGAAGTAAACATTCAAAATTAGTAGTGCTGGGGGCTTGGTTATGTGTGTTTGTAGTAGGGTTTGCAAAGCAGGCTCAGGTTGATACTTGCACCTGGCTTACCTGATTATCCAACCTACCTTCCTGGTATGATGCAGGGCTTTCAACATCCTCTGGTAAACTGGAGCTTGGACTCCCCGGACACCAAGATACCTCGTATGTATCTAGGTGCTTTGTATCCAAAGATGAGGTTCATCTTCTGTGGCTGAGGAAGGACATTGATGGACTGGGCCTGGACATATGTGGGCTTCATTACGATTCGTGATTGCCTATGGATTTCTTTCTCCTGCTCTTCCACACCCTTTCTGTGTAGTAAAGCTTTGCGGGAGTGTATCCTCTGGAGACCTGTCATCCTTTCAAACATGCAACCCCACAGAGTCTTTGCACTCACCTAACAGAAGCATTGCTTTTCACTGCTGATTTCGAGAGTCAAATATCATGTTTCGTTCTCTAGATCCTGTAACTCGATCACAGTAGAAGCACAATGCATAGTTATGTGCTCTGTAGATGCACAGTCCAGTGCAGCGAAAGTCAGATCCCTCCTCTGCTTTGCTACAGTGATAGTTTTGCGTGTGTCCTATTCTGTGTCTCTATAGTTGAGTCATAGTCTGATTGTGGTGATATCGCCACAACTACGTATTTTCAATTAGAAAAGTACCATGTGAATTAATGTCTAAAGTTTTGTGCTATGTATCTCTTAAGGTTATCCCTTCCAGAGATTCATCTGCATCACCCAGAGAAATGTGGAGAGTGTAGGGAATCTTCTAGATTTACTCGATCAGAAGAGAAGATGTTTGGGTCCCCATGACACCAATGGTACTCATAGCCCCAACACGGCTGACTGCCCCAGAGAGGATTTTGCCTTGGAAAGATGTTCTCAAGTGTCAGCTTCTCCTACACGAAAGGCCAGGTAATAATTGAAAACTTGACTCTAACATGTCACCTTATTTTCTTTATTCCCTGATGGAGAGGATTCTTCTCGTATCAAAGCTTGGAGGATAAATACACTTTGTCCAGAATTACAAAGGTTAATATATTAACTAATATAAGTTTGCAAGCATAAATTAAAAGGCAAAATACAGCAAAATAATGTACCACAAAATGGAAACCTTCAAACAAGAGCTCAAATAAAAGGAAAGATACTTTTAAAACAGTTCTTTCCTCTTCTCTTTGTCTCTTTTTCCCCCTCTCACTGAGTATTTTTTTTAAGATTTTATTTATTTATTCATGAGAGACACAGAGAGAGAGGCAGAGACACAGGCGGAGGGAGAAGCAGGCTCCCCATGAGGAGCCTGACGTGGGACTCGATCCCAGGACCCCGGGATCATGCCCTGGGCTGAAGGCAGGTGCTAAACCACTGAGCCACCCAGGCGCCCCTGAGTTCTTTTTTCAAGTAATGAGTAAGTCCTTGCCTAGAAGAGATAAACAAGTATAAATAAAACAGAGACAGCGAAAGTTGGTTTATGTAAATGCACCTCTGAATCTGATTGCATTGCAAGCCAGTTGAGCTTTCTCCTGTGGTTTCCGTGGTCGATACTTTTCATGCTGTGGATGAGCATTTGCCTTTCAGTGGAATCTTCCACAATAAAATGAATCCCCCAAAGCTTCAAAGCCAATTAGCCTACAGTTACAGTCTTCATTTTTCTTCCCTATGATTTTCTACCTCCGTTAAAAAAATACAGTCCCGGTTAACAACAACAACAACAACAACGTAAAAGGTATGCTTACAATTTTATCAACAAATACAGTTAATTAGCTATTCCTTTAGTTAGCAGCTGAGACTGTGACATGGGGTCAGCACACGCAGTTTGGCCCAATCACCTCGGTGAGAAGGTAAGACTCGCCCATCCTCTGGGGTGGACTGGATCTGACTTGCCATTCTGTTAAAAAATCAGCTGTTTTTGCGATGCCCAAGCTTCAGATATGTTAATGAGTCATATGCAATTACTGTTTAATTGACTTAAATACATCAAGGCTTTATTAGAAAAGAAAAATGCATCACCATTAAGTATAAGACTAAATATCAAAATCACTTCAGTTGTAAGCTAGGTGCCATTTATTTTCATGATTTAAGAATATTAAACAAAAGGGGGAAATAAGTGTCATAGACTTCAGTCTAAGGAAGTTCGAATCATCCATCTTATGAGTTTTGTATGATTCAGAAGTACGCAGTGTGAGATTTGAGTCAAGTATTTACTGCTTACAACTCTCATTAAAAATAGATAAATGGGTTTGATTGCACCTGAGACTAAGTGTGGCAGCTCTCACTGGTGAGCCACGCTGAACATCGCGGCGTCCCGTTCCAAGTAGATTTCACCCCAATTCTTACCGAGATTTGGAAAGGATGAAAGCAGCATTTACCCACTGCAGCTCACGTTCTGGATGCAGAATAGGTTCCTCAGATTAAATGCTCTTGAGTGAGGGACCTCTGGGTGGCTCAGTGGTTGAGCATCTGCCTTTGGCTCAGGTCATGATCCCAGGGTCCTAGGATCGAGTCCCACATCAGGACCCCTGCAGGGAGAGGGAGCCTGCTTCTCCTTCTGCCTGTGTCTCTGTCTGTCTGTCTCTGTGTCTCTTATGAATAAATAAATGAATTCTTTAAAAAAAATGCTTCTCGAGTGAGATTTAGTAAGTGATAACGCTGAAACCATTTTCTTGTTCCTTTTGATGTTTTCCTAGCTAATGAGGTCATGGAAATTTGAAGATTTTCTGCCTTGTTAATTGTCCTTCTTGTTTGTTTTGTTTGGATAGGGAGTCGTATGAGAGGCAGAAGTGACATTCACCCCTTGATACTGGACCCCTGATTCCTGTCTTCATGATCGCACCCTATGGATCTGTTCCTGATCATAGACCTCATTTGCGGTGGTTCGTCTAGACACTAACCTTCCAGTTTTCCTTAATGTAAGCCTGTGATTCTCTGTGTTTCATCTTTTCCACTTCTAAAAAAATTAGACCAAATCCTGTTTTTACACTGAGTCCCCAGGGACACAGAGTCTGGTACTAGAAGTAGCGAGACCTATCTGGGAATGAAACAGGGATAGTTCCCCAAACCACGAGGAGCTAGAAACCACCTGGCCATAGCACAGTGACTTCTATGATCACAGTTAGCCTCTTGCAATCAAGCGCCTACGAAGGGAGGGTTTGGGCACACCAAGCGATCGCTGTGATGGCCAATGGTGGAGGAAAGCAAGAATACAGACCTCTAGCTATTTCTCATGACACTGGAGAGTGTAAAGAACAGAAAAAAAGAAAAGAACTCTGGGTTTTAAATTCTCAGCTCGAGACATGATTAGAAAATTAAGGAACATCTATCATGATCTCTTGCAGCCATGACACTGACATGTCAAGCCAGAAATCAGACAGAGTCAGTTCCTTTAATTTTCTAAATCAAACATAAATTGAATGCAAAGCTTCATTGTGCCTCTTAAGTCAAAGCCTGAGCATTTATTAAGAGTAAAATTCTGACTGAAGACATTTTAGTGAATTCAGATGAACCTGACTACTCTGTATCCCTAAAGACCAGAGAAAATCTCTTTGGCAGCAGAAACAGTTCTTCCTCCCCTCTGATGACACAAACTGGAGTTGCTTGGAGACCCTGTGATACCTTCCCCTTTGAAAGGATGACGATACCCTTCCCCCAACCCTGCCCCTGCTGCCCCTCATAAACACTACCCATATGACAAGAGTTGGCTCTCAGCTTGTCCCAGGGGAGACAAACACAGAAGCTAACATGGAAGGCATTACATTACATATCAAAATAGATCCAGGATTTGGCTAATATGTAGTAGCAGAAAGCTAAGGAATATGTATGAGGATGGGTTCTAAGAGACCTAAACAAGGGAAAGAGAAATATAACTATGGATTGGGCCAAGTATATCAATACAGGCATACCTTCCAGAGATGCCAACTCAAGCTTTCCAGTTTGGCTTGAAATGCTGGCTTGCTTAGTTTCCTGGACCTGGACTCAGTAGGTGGACTGTACTGAATGAAGGTGAGGTACCTAAAATCACTCTTGCATTATGCAAGAAAGAATTTGAAAACTTAGAAAGATAAGAATGGAATGGATTTATTTGCTGTGCCCCTAAATCACTCTATCTATAAGAACTTCTCCTGAGGAGGCTTAGAAGATCCTCCCTTTAACCATTTAAAATATAAATTGGTAAACAAAATAATTAAAGACAGAAATATGTTATAAACCACTGGGGGAAAAGATGGGAAGCTATGGGGCACCTGGGTGGCACAGTCCGCTAAGTGTCTGACTCTTGATTTCAGCTCAGGTTGTGATCTCAGGGTCTTGAGATTGAGCCTACAAGGGGCTCTGCACTGAGTGTGGAACCTGTGTAAGATTCTCTCTCTCCCTCTCCCTCTGCCCCACTTGTGTGTGCTCTCTCTCTCTCTCTAAAAAAAATAAATAAAAGTGGAAAACTATGAGCTTATACCAAAACACATAAATATAAATAAGTATTTATATAACATATATAAGTACATGTATATTACACTTCTAAAATATTCCCTATTTTAGTATGGACTCATACACAGAATACTTATACTTACATATAACATACATAATTTTATGCACAAAACATATAAATAAAGAAATAAGAAGACAGGGGCTCTTTGCTATAGAAGAATGATACATATGGATTGGTCAACGCAGGGGGAATGCTGCAGTTGGAAAAAATAACATTTTGCAATCGTAATTATAAATATTGGTACAGGCAAAATCATCAATTGATGCTAAAACTAGAGGAATAGATTCTGATAAGGAGCAAAGTATCATCTTTAATTATCCTTCAACCGATCATTTCTTAATTGCAAGGCAAAGAGTAGTAATTCAATGGAGAAATGAGGTAACACCTTGACCTGGGTGAAAAAGATGTAGACAGGCATTGTGTGCCTCTTGATTTGATACCCTGAGAAGGACATCTCAGCCACAATATCCTCTGTGTCATACTCTGGCTGGGAATAAATAACCTAAATCTAATCATGAGGAAACATCAAATGAACTCAAAAAGAGGAATATTGTGTTCATTTTTTTTTAAAGGGTGGAGGAGGGTTGAATTTTGCATAAATGCTAATGTAATAAAACACAAAGAAAAGCCCTAGAAATGTTCCAAATTAAATGAGGCTGAAAGGACACGACCACTGAGTGCAATACCGGATCCTAGAGTATCTATACTGAGGACAGACAAATTCAATAAAGAGTGTTATTGGGTCGGTGTGACAAAACTGGAATAAGAATGAAACTAAAGTATTGAATTACTGTTAGATTTACTGAAGAGAGGAACTGTCCAGTTGTGACATGAGAGTGTATCTTTCTTCTTAGGAAATAAGTTATTTAGTGGTAAAGGACCAAGGGGTATGCAAGGTACTCCCAAATATTTAAGAGAAAGCAAATCCAAACGATAAAGCAAAGGGGGAAAACTGTTAACAACAAAGGTACCCAAGGAAGGACATATTGTTTTATATGCTTATTTTTGCACCTTTTCTGTAAGTTGGAAATAATTTCCAAATGAAACATCTTTAAATATGCATTTTTATCAAAGGTATTCCCAGCACCTTGCAAGATGGTATAATGGCTGTTTCTAGTAGGAAGCCAGAGAAGGTAGAGAATCCTGCCATGGAAGTAGGCTCTCTGGTTTCAGTGTGGGTGGTTGGGTCCCATAGTGGGAAAGACTGCTGGAAACAAAGTGCTCATGATTATAAAACAGGCAGTGGGAACAGAAAAGTCATTAGAATAATCTGCCCCATAGGTGTTTTTAGTAGTTGTTAATTAACCATGGTATCTCCTGGTCGACTACTACAGTCCAACTTGATCTGAGCAAACACACACCCTCTGGTGTTGCCAGCAAAAGCCTGATTGTGACATCATCAAGCCAGTAGAAGGCCACTCCATCCAACTCTTTGACATACATCACTTCTCAAGACCAAGAGTCCCTCAGATAAAGAGTAAGATTCCCTGAAGGAAGGACTTTGGGATTGCTCAGTCTTTCCCCAAAACGCATAGGGCCACTTCCCATGGGATTGGAAAAGGACATTCACAGACCTCTCAGGTCTGAGCATGGACCCATTCCTGAGCTTGTATTGATACATGGGGTTGCAAGGTCCCCAGTGCAGTGTACCTCTATCTTCCCTGCCTGCATTGAGAATCATTGGAGATTTAGACAATCACAGGAAGTTAAATATATTTGTAATACAAGTAAATATATTGGAGAATTTTTGTCAGATTTGGTCAAGTAGATCAGGTAATATGTCAATCACCAGATCTCTAACCATGGATGTAGCCAAGTCCCTATTTTGGAGCACGACATAACCTCTGCTCTAACATACACCTTATGACATCAGGGTGGCCTAATCAACATCCTCTTTGGAGACTCTTAAAGTTTGAGATTAAACTGAACTATTTTATGGCCTGCCTGATATCTTGACCATTCATCTGTGAGTCCCTGGAAGGATATATTGTCCAGATTTGACAATTTAACCATTTGAATGTTCACTGGATTAAAAAACAAGCTACAGGATCGATATTAAGACAAATACACAATGTTTACCTATGGAAGGTTTCAAATTCTATTTCATTTTCAGACCAGGGAATATGTGAGAAGCTATGAATCATGTCAAAGATATAAAGGGATTACTGATGCAAATTTTGTTTCAACCTAACAGCTGTGCAGAAAATTTTTCATAATAATGATTGCATTTAATTACATAAAGAGCAGTAAAGTCTCCTCCATTTTATCTCAATAATGAAGCCGTGATTCTAAGATAATCCTGGCCTTTCTCTACCAAGGCCAGCATGTGAGTAACAGTGAATTCAGTTCCCGGTCTTAGCTATCCTCAAAGGATAAAAAAAAAAAAAAAGAATTTTTCACATATATTATGAAGATGAAAAATATTACCTTAGGGCATATTTTTTAATGCACTCTAAAGCATATATATTTAGAGACCAAGCTTCAAAAAGAATTAGCCCCCGAGTCATTTCTAGAGTTAACTGTAACACCTGCAACAAAAATTAAATAATATGGACAAGTCTTTTTAAAAAAAACAGTAATTTGTTATATTTCCTAGTCCCCATGCCGCTCTATGAGATTTAGCAACATCTCTAACACTTTATATCTTCTCTCTCCCTTCATTTCTGGGCAGATCACTAGTTTCATGAAAATAATTAGGGAGCCCAGCTTTGCCACGTAAACTAGAGTCTTGAGGTTAATTAAAATGGAATGAACACTGCACATATGTGGACCGCCAGTAAAGCCTGGGGTCAGGTAAACAGAATTCTGACATATGGTGAAAATATAAGCCAACGAAGATAGCAACATAAATTCACTGGGGAACTTCATGTTTAGACTTTCTGTTATAATCTTCAACTGATGTTGGCATTTGACATATTATACCAATAGAATTTGTAGTTGTATGTACTACACTGATTTTATGCACAGTATTCAAACATTTCCAGACTATTTCTGTGCATTTCTAATATGTGGTGAACTACTTTTTCTGTAGGTTTATAAAAAAGAAATTGATGGACATATTTTTAAATAGGCTCACCGAGTTCAGTGGAAATGTCAGGTGTCAGCCAGCCTAATTAATTGGCAAACTTTGACAAAATTTCTATTTCAAAATTAATTACTTCCAAAAGTCATTCAAAAAGCTGGTGGTGATACCAAAACTAAACAAACAAACAAACAAACAAAAAATGGCCCACTTCTGGGAGGCAGTAGAATTAGGAGATCCACGTGGAGAGTCAGAATCTGTTTCTTTGCAGGACAGTGACTTGAGCAAATCTTTTAAACTTTATGAGCCTCTGTTTTAAAAATATGAAATGGACACAAAAAGCAGTACTTTGTGACTTTATGGAGTTTTTATGAGGATAACGTAAGAAATATGAATGCACTTTATAC